TGTTTTAACACTGCTGCTATTTTTTTTCCTTTAAAAGGAAAAAGGAATTCCTAGTAGTGTTGTCAGTACATACGAACTACTACATGAGAGAGAAATTGTTTTACTTCTACTGGAGATTCTAGCAGTGAGATATTTTGCTGAGGAGAGTATTTTGTGGAATTAGCCTGGAACGTGGAGAGTTAGGGGGTAGGTAGGAAGGCATAAATTGCACTAACAGAATGTCAGGGGGCAAACATGGTGAGGCTGAAGCAACCATGGAGGAGAAGGTAGACCAAGGGCAGGTGGACTCTGCCAGGTTTAACTAGAGTGAGGTGCTCTCACCTTGCCCCTTCAGCTGGGTTTTACTGCTCCTGTAACACAGGTGCCAAAGAGCAAGGCCTGTGCAGCTCCCAGCTCGTACTGCTCCTGTGCCAGGCTGTGGAGCTGCTGGCTCTCTGCAGCAGGCAGGGTGCTTTGGCCTCTCATGGGGTTGTGGAGCACATCTGTCTTCCATGAGATCTGGTAGATCCCTGAGCTCTTGCAGAGCTCCACTCTAGAGCTCCACTGCAAGAGCTGTGAGAGTAGCCAGAGGAACATGATGTGGGGTAAGAGAAGAGAAGGGTAGTGAGGTAAATGATGAGAGAACTTGGAGAAGAAAACAGGGACAATACTTTTCTTTCATACTTGTGGAAACAAAGGTTTAAGGAGTGGCAATGATAGAGCTTCAACAAAGTTTGGGGCGCTGTGGGAGTCATTGCTGTGTGAGTGAATTAAAACCGAATGCTTAAACAAGAAAAGGCCACTGGCTAATGATGGGAGTAAGTATCTCTCAGTAGTCAAAGAATTAAAATTAAAAATGGTGAAAAAGTATAGCTGTTTTAGTCTCCTCTTGGGCATGCAGACAGGTAGGTGCCTGTGAATCTATATTGCTTCAGTTTTTCTTAACATGTGTTCTTGTATTTAATCCCTTGTGCGAAAGTCAGTGCGAGAGACCTGTGTCTGTTAATTCATACCATTCAGTAGAGTTCAGTGTGTAGCTTTTAAACAGTTCGAAGGTCTCTGTATCCTTCTCTGAGGCTGTACAGCTGCTTGTGTCAAGTATTTGATAGGCCATCTTTCTTTTTTACTCACATAAAACTCAAAACAATGCATTAATATAATTTTCCAGTGCAGAGTTGTCTTTTAAAAATCCCTCTCTTCACTTCTGTCAAATAACCAATACCAGCTTTTAGAACCTAGGACTTTGCTGTTGTCTTCCTTTCCCCTTTCTCCCCTTTTTTATTCTTCATCTCCTGTCTCTTTTCCTGTCTTTTTTCTTTTTAAGAGCTCAATATGTAATACTTACGGGCTTTTCCAGACCAGCCTTTATGCAAAAATGTATTTTAAACTTCCATCAGGCCTATAGAAGACATACAAGCCATGTCTGTAAGAGTAAGGGCACAAGAAGAAAGAATGGAAGGATGTTTCCTTGAGATCTGATGCATGTAGTTTCTGTATTTAAAAACTGTTTCTTTGTATAAAAGATGCAGATGTTTTTTACCTCGTGGATACTGTTTCATGATCTTGCTTCCAGCACCTGCTCTAGCATTTTCTCAGGTTGTGGTTTTTTTCCTGTTACTAACTGCTCTATGGTTGTGCATTACACACCTCATTAAATCTAGCTTTTTTTTTTTTTTCTTCCCTTGACAGCTGCAAATCAAAAAGAACCCCTGACTCCTAAATTTAAAGTGAAAGAGGAGCCTAAGGATGAAGAAACTGCAAGTTCAACCTTATCTCAGTCCAGCTACATGTTCAGCCATGGATCTGAAGCCTCAGCCCCAAGTGTTCCCGAGGAAAAATTCAAGACACAGGAAGCTCAGACAAATGTGATGAGGCAGGACATGTCAGTCAAGGCTGCATCTGAGCTCCTCATGAAGCTATCAGGTAGTTAATTAATTTAAAAATATTCAATAGCTTTTTTCTTTATTTATTTCTTGTATGTTACAGGGTTACTTTATAGAATTAAGGCTTAGCTTTAATAGCAAGTGAAGGAACAAATGAAAATATCCATCTTACCAGGTTCATATGTGTCAGCGATCTCTGGTCTGTGACTTTAGCATCTAATTGTCTGTGCTGTGCAGATTTTAGTGGTCTTCAAATTAATGACTATGGAATAAGTCAAAAGGACTGATGGCTTAAAGCTTTTAGCTATTGTCAGTTTAAAATATACCAAAACATGTGCATACCAATCTATCCCCATCTGTGTCCCTTCATTAATATCATAAAAATGTGTGCCTGTATTGAACTATACCTGATACAGCTTTATAAATCACAAGCTTTTAAAGCCTTCTGTATTTTTCTCACAATGTCTTGTACTCAGGATTGTAAGATACCCTGTTAAGAAGATAATGTAAACTGAGCCAGCTTCCAGTGCATAGGGAGACCACTTGAACTTGCCTGCGTTATCGTACTAATACATCCTTCTGTCAGGCAGTTGGACACTATGCACGCATGTGCAGTCACATATGTACTGTTAGAGTTGGCGGGAACCGAAGCAAAATGTATGTTCTGCTAATTATGCTTTGTTTAATTGTCAGAATTGAGGAAGGAATGTTTAACTTGAGGAAGAGTAAAGGAGCTGAATTCTCCCTGCTGGGAACAGGTTTAAGTGAATGATGGAAAAGCTTTGAACTTCTAATGCACTTCAGCTTTTAGTACCAAGAAGAGAAAGTTAATCTGAGGAGCTGGGAGTGATATTTCCCCACCCCAGCTGGATCAGCTAGCTTTGAAGTCGTCTCCAGAACTAGACCACACTTACTTTTTGTTTTGAAGCATGCCAAAGTCACACAAGAGGTGCCAGTGGAAGTGCTTACAAGTTCAGCAACTTTTGAGATCCCTGCCAAATCTGTCTGAAATTATTTGGCTTGATTGCGTTCTGTCGAAAATTGAATTTGAACTCTTTTTTTTTTTTTTTTAATTTGCCTAAGACTTTAATTCTTTGATTTGCAGGCATCCATAATGATTAGTGGTGCAAAAAGTGAATGCCATGTACGAAAACTCATCAGAGCAGAAGTTTCCCAATTTTTCACAGAATCCCAAATCACCGAAGATTTTATTACCGACATAGTGCACTTTTGCTACTAACAGATGTTTCAAATAGGGTGTCTGAGAAACAGAAATTTATGGTCTAATGAATGTTAACCAATGAATCTGTTTTTCTTAGTGTATGTAAATTTATATGCACTATTTTCTCTAAGAAAGAGCTCTGTAACTTAAGGATTCTTCAAGTGCCTGAGAGATACTAGGATTCTTGACTGTGTCTTAAACTTACCAGGAGCTGGCTGTGTTCGGTTAGGTTTTTTTTGTTGACTTCAGTATGTTAGAATATTGGTGCCTTATATCTATGTTCGTAACAGTCAAATCTGGTATATAAAAAATCTTAGTCAAGTCTTCAGTCACTTCTGTTGGCAACTCCCTGTGTTTAAAGGTTGCAGTAAGAGACGCATTAGTAACTGCTTAAAAAAATTGAGCAGTTTTTGCTGATACTGATTTCTTGGATTAATTGACAGATTTAAAGAGTTAGGCTTTTTTATTGACTTCAGTATGTTACAATATTGGTGCCTTATATCTATGTTCATAACAATGAAATCTGGTATATATAAAATCTTAGTCAAGTCTTCAGTCACTTCTGTTGGCAACTCCCTGTGTTTAAAGGTTGCAGTAAGAGACGCATTAGTAACTGCTTAAAAAAAATGAGCAGTTTTTGCTGATACTGATTTCTTGGATTAATTGACAGATTTAAAGGTAAAGAATTACTTAAGATTCATTCACAAATTCAGCATTATGCGGTTGGTGTTCCTGAATCACCCAGCAGGTGGGGTTATACTAACCTTATTTTGTGTTCTGTTTTCAACTTTTCTGAACTACATCTGAGGCAGCCTGAAGAGGGAAAGCATCGGTACAGTTTAATGCCTGTCAAATATAAGGGCAAAATCTAAAGTCAGTAATCCTTTTTTTTTTTTTTTCTTTATGTTATTTTATCTGATAGAATCTTCTGGGATCACTCTTGTCTCCTCAAATTCTGCACTTTATTTTTAGTGATTTAGAATTTAAATAGTCATTTCTTCAGAATAAAAGAAAAATTCTCCTTTTTTTCTGATACACGAAGGAACAAAACAATGGAAAGAAATTGATATGTCTGGATGTTCTAATGTCTGTGGGAAATCTTCTGCACTTATTAGATTTGATACATTTTATAACTGGGTTTAAGTCAGGTCCTTCCGAACTCTGTATATATCCCTGGTAAAGACCAAATGGATTGCATCTCTCCCTTGGTATCTGCACTACGTTCTTTTTAGTACTAATTATCAAAAACCTGCATCGCATACAAATTTGGCAAAGCATTTCTGATATAATAGTGTTATACGTTCTGCATTCCTGACCTGGGTAATACTGAAAACACATGTATTTTATTATACTTTAAGCAGTATATATTACCAATTGTTGCAGCATGGTAGGAGCCTCTTAAGCATATACCTTACTGTCTTAATTCATGTGAAAGTTGCACTAGCTCATACTCTTTACTAGGAAGTCTCTTTTCCCAAGCAGATGTTGCTAGCTGCTAACTGAGCTTATGTGGTTTAGTGAAAGGCCTTTTGAGCTCTGGACTCATATTTTGGGCTGGTAGATATTGTAAGAGAGACTCATTTGTAAATCACCAATCCTTTGAGAATATGATACCATAGACTTGTCAGCCACTCAGAAATCCCTCGTAAAGCTGGGCAAAAGTTGGAAGAATAGGCATGTTAGAATATTAACAGAACTGTTAATAGTCGTCATTTTAGAGGTATGTGTACAGAAATAAGAGGGAATCACACACAGGGCTACTTATATTTTAGCTTAATTGCACAAGATTCTCTCTTTTTTCAGGAAAAGAAAAGGTGGAAAATAGTGAAAAGTTATAGGCGTGCTTCTAGTACCTTAAGGTAAGGCCCTTAGCCTGGGTGCTACTTTAGGGGAATGGGACCTTTTCTGGAGACAAATATGTCCTCTTATACAAAAAAATCTAGACTGTGTTCCACTTGAATTCAGATCTTCTTCCTCATAGTTCACAAACTTGATACCTATTCTAGACATAAAAAATACACTTGGAGACTTTTTATGAAGGATTATTAATTGTCCCATCAAACTAGGAGAGCTAATATCTCTTGGATATGTCTAATTAGAACCTTTTTTATCCAGACAGTCAGCCACTCTTGTTAACAACTGGTCTGGTATTTAACAGTAAACAAAACACTCATTTGAAAGATACCATCTTTGTGGATTAGCAGGTAAAGTTTCAGCCTCAGTGCATATCTTACACTTATATTTCACAGAAGTATCTGAAGTAGCTACCATGGTTTGAACAAACATATGAGTGAGCTATCTATTACTAACTCTAAAGTAAAACTAGACCTAATGGTAACCCAACAAATTTGAGGAGGTAGTGGAGCCCAGTAATTTACTTTCATCTCAACTTGGCAGGTTGCCATCCCTGTAAGATTTTAAATTCCTATTAAATCTCTCATGAAATCACTTAGAAGAAAGTGAAATAATGTATCTCAAATACACCCAAACCATTTTTTTATATTCTTACCAGTTCTCTTTTATAGAAAAGGTAAAGCTAATTCTGAGAACGTTTAACTATATGATGATCCAAGTGAACTATGGTCAATTTTATACACTCAGTCTTGTAAGATGAAAGGTTTCAGTGGAGACAGAATTTTAAAATAAGTATTTTCATTTGCTTGCTAATGTTAGAGTTCAAAAAATCATTCTGTGTTGAAATATTCTTGCTACTAATATGTTTTGGCATGTATTGTCTTTTGGAAGTATAGTGTTTTCTGTTCTTGTGCAAAAATAAATGCACAACTGGAGGTATATAAAATCTCTTCTATTTTCTTCTGAACTATGCCATGAACTATGACATTAGTATGTCCAAGTCTTTTCTAAAAATCTTGTCTGGCTCACTTTTGCCTTTATTTCAGCTGTTATCTTATTTGTGAAGTGTAGTCATTTTACATTTCAGTAGTAACACAGGTCTCTTCATTTCTTTTTTATTGTGGATCAATTCCCCATGTATTGCAGATATACTTGTTATCAGTAGCAAATGCATGACCTTTGTACTATCCAATTGCTTTGGTTTTCTTGTATTTCAATTCTCAGGTCACACTTTTCTTCTTGTAATATTCCAATTCCCAACAATGTCTCCTAATCAGCAAATTTAATTACTGCATAGGTGCTTTGTGTGCCAAGATCATGAAGTAAAATCTTATATAAAATTGGTTCCAAGATCATTCTTGACCAATGCCTCTTATAACTGTCTACTGATATGACAGTTTCTCTTTCAGGACAACTGTGGTTTTTTGTTTTGTTTTGCTTTTTAAATCAAGTTTTATCCACTTTTGGACATCTATGCTAATTTCTCATTTTGTGCCGTTTAATTAAATTTTTGGCAAACAACTGTATTAGTTGTCAGTTTTAAAAGGTTGGTAAGCAGAGTGCTGTGCTTGTGTAACTGGCCAGCTAGTAGCAGAGTAACCTTGTTCAAGGCTTCGGTAGCTTTATACTTGATTGTCATCAGCAGAGTGAACTAACAAAAGTAAAAACAACAACAAAAAGGAGACCATGGCTGGCAAGCTATTATTTTTTAACAGTCACGAAATCTTACCAACTTGAATGAATTATGTTGGGGCTATTTTGGTTTATTGTTACTATGGTGAGGAAGAAGTACATCACTGCATTTTCAGGTGACTCCAGGGGAGGGAGGAAAGGGGCAAAACTCACCTTCCTGTGTGTTTCTTTTCAGGAGCTCTGTGGACTGTGCTGAGAAGCCAGTGAGACTGATGGTGCTTGTAGGAGCTAGGGTGCTGGCTTGGAAAAATACCTGTTGCCAGGTGCTTCAT